TGTTAAATTCTAAACATGTTGTGTTAACTATTTATTAAATGATATCGATTAATATCTTGTATGTTCTCTTGTTACGGGATATAATGATAAATGATCAACTTTAACTGAAAGTGGTACGCAAAATGAAATGTTTTAGTAAAAAAATAAATTTATACTCTATAATTAAAAGTTATTTAAGTATATTCCTTGTCTTTATCCTCTATACATTTGGATATTCTGCCACTAATTACTTCTTAGAACTTACAAGCATGTCTTTCTCTCCTGAAGCAAAGATTTTACTTGCAATTGGAGCATCACTATTATTTTTTATGTTAATCTATGACACACTATATAATAAAGAAAGCAATAATGAAAGTAGTATAATATCGATTTTAAGTAAAGCAACTCTTTCGATTTCAAATATATTACTCTTTCCTTGTGCAGTTGGTGCTGGACTGCTTGTTGGTACTACTGAAATTTTTACTAACAGCCAGTCAGTGGTTGCTTTTTCTTTGAACAGCAGCATTGCTTTTATATCAACGGCCATAGTTCCTTTAGGGATAACTGCACTTGTAAATCCCTGCAATACATGTGAGTGGGATGTTGATCATAAGTTAGAACGAGTGACTTCCGTAATTGTGCAATGCGGTATTGTAGTGGGAATTGCCACATTAGGTTGGAGTTTTATTACAGATGTATTAGCAAAAAGCCAGCAACTTTTTACTATTCTTGAATCTGTAGGTAGCGGATTATATAGCTCTGCAAGTGCATTACTGGCTGTAATTTTAGCACCTGTGATGATGTTGGCAAGTCATTGTATATTTAATCAACTGCAAACACATTCCCAAGATGATGTAAAAGGTCACAGATTAGCAAGAGATCAAGCTATAGAATCAGAAAAAACTCAAGCTAGAAGTACAGGCACTATTGTGACTAAACAAGCAGAGAGAATGGAGGTAAGGCATGAGATAAATCATCACGATGATTTTCGTAATGTATTTGTTAATTATATAACAAGCGCAATCAAAGAAGCAAATTGTTCTTCCCTTATTAATAGTAAAGATCAGAAGACACAGCCTTCAATGGTTGAAGGAATTTCAACAAGAACACAAGAAAACACTAGGTGTCGATAAATTCATTTCACTATAATGTAAGATAGTACGCAAGCATATAAAATGAGTCATATTGTTAATTCCTATAATAGGCTTAAAATTCCCATAATTAGAGGGGAGGGAATGTACCTTTTTGATCAAGGTGGTAAGAAATATTTAGATTTTGCTGCAGGAATTGCTACAACCTCTTTAGGGCATTGTCATCCGTACATTGTAGAAAAACTGAAAGAACAATTAGATTCACTGTGGCACTGTTCTAATCTTCTTACTATACCGCAACAAGCATTACTTGCTGAGCGTTTGGTTAGCTTAACCTTTGCAGATAAAATTTTTTTCTATTCTAGTGGACTTGAAGCAACTGAAGCTGCAATCAAATTCATTCGCCGTTATTTCTACATAAAAGGCCGAAAAAAACGTAACCGTATTATTACAATTGAAGGTGGATTTCATGGTCGCAGTATAGCTGCAATCTCTGCAGGAGGAAATGAAAGATCACGGGAAGGTTTTGCTCCCCTACTTTCTGGGTTCGATAAAGTACCCAAGAATAACATTCAAGCTTTAGAAGAAAAGATTAGTGATGAAACGGCTGCTGTATTTTTGGAACCCATACAAAGCGAGGGAGGGGTGTATTCACTGGATGTAGAATATCTTCAGCAAGTAAGACAAGTTACAAAAGACCAAGGAATCATTTTGTGTTTTGATGAAGTACAATGCGGTTATGGACGTATTGGTTCTCTATTTCATTACCAAAATATAGGAATTGAACCGGACATACTCACCTGTGCAAAAGCAATGGGTAATGGATTTCCCATTGCTGCATGTTTAACAAAAGATTATATAGCAGAGGCTATTACACCAGGGACTCATGGATCAACTTATGGTGGCAATCCACTAGCTATGACTGTTGGTAATGCAGTATTAGATATAATGTTGAAAGAAGGTTTTTTTACTCATGTTCAAAAGGTAAGTAAATATTTAAGAAAAAAATTGCTATACTTGGCTGAGAAGTTTTCAAAGAAAGTTTTGGAAGTTCGTGGTGAAGGGTTGCTTATAGGAATAGAACTAAAATCTCCCATAGCTGATAAAATTGTTGATCAATGCTGTAGCAAAGGTTTAATGTTAACCAAAATTTTAAATAATAGAGTAATTAGAGTTACTCCTCCGCTTATCGTTAAAAATGAACATATAGACATTGCTTGTGATATACTTTATGATTCAATTGCCTCCAATTTTTGACACTTATTCTCTATAAGATGTAGTATTATGAAAACAAATGATCTGCAAAAAACTAGCTATAGTCTATTACCACTTGTTACTGAACGTATTGCACAGCAGTTTCCAGAGTGGGCCCATTTAGAAATTAAGCTAGAAATTAAGCCTGTTGAATTGGATGGTATGGATAATAGAACCTTCAGGTTAAATGAATATAGCTTGTCGGCAATTTCTAAGGTTCAAGATTTTAAAGTATGATGTGCTACAATATTAAA